TAACACTGAAAGCGTTTTGAAAAGCCATATAGAATCCTACTCCTGTAGAAGTGTCCTAAAATATATACACCTACTAAAGAAATTTAAATGGCATTGCCGTATAATGAGGAAGACAATACCCCAACTAGGCATCATATGCCACCAAATAAAACCCCCAGTACCAAGAACAGGCTACATCTTCTTGAATTAGCCAAATGGGTCTGATAGACCGCCCCCCTAAACATTACAGCCTGTTTCCAATACTATTGAATGCCTTTCACAACTTGACAGTAAAAGCATATTGCTGAAGACACCACATTCTTATGGTACAGAACATGGAGAAATCTAGCCGGTACTCATCTGGAAGCTTCTCCCCTACTTACTAGTGTCCATGGTGCTAGAAGGTGCTGTGCACGCTACTGGAGGAGAAAAGCAATCATCAGTCTCACCCAGCTGTGAGCCCTGTGAGTTATAATAATGGCCTGCCTGCAAGATATGCCCACCAGTGCAACAGTGGCGTGATTGTTATGGGAGTAACCAAGCACTTCTTAAAATCTGGATTGAATGCCTACTCTGCACACGTGTGTGTGTGTGTGTGTGTGTGTGTGTGTGTGTGTGTGTGTGTGTGTATCTCCATGTGTCCTGAAGGTGTTTGGTCTCTTTCTCCTTTACCTCTCTTCTGGAACAACCATCGACACAGATGAGAGAAACAGAGAGAAGGTGTGAGCTGGGACTCATGAGACCCAGAGGTGGATGCAGAACAGGTAGAGAAGGCGGTCAAGCAGGGACCTGGTAACACAGGGACACAGCTGGTAGGAGGCATGTCTCCATGGACTTCTGGGTCTCTGACTGAGTTGGTCACTCTCTCCCTGTCTTGTTCGGCCTGTGTCCTTCACTACCTGAGTGCCTTTTTCTGCCCCTTGGGGCATGATGCTCTGTTTCCCTTTTTCTCTCCATCCTCTCCCCCAAGCACTCCCCACCTTTCTTCTCTCCTACGTATCTCTGTCCTTCCTCAATCCTCCAACCTCAAGGAACTGAGATATTTCTAGAGTAACTGGTGACTGGCAGGAAGGGGTCTGTCTCCTTTCTCATGATAAGCCTGCATCCTGGCCATCTCAGCAGGACTCAGGCCCTGACTCCCCCTTGTGTGGTAAATGTGTCCCCACTGTTGCCTCTGTGTGTGTGTGTGTGTGTTTTAAGTGAGCAGTCAACAGCTTGCAGAGGTAAGCAAACCTCCTTTACTGATAGTCCTGGTTTGGGTGGAGGCGATTAAAACAGAGGTGGGGAGGTCAGCTAGAGACACTGCTGCGTCTGAGTCTAAAAGTCAAAGCTTCTAGAAACAGGCACACACAGACTCCTCTGACCCCATGGGGGAGGACCAACAGAGTACACCTGGACCTTCACACACTCATGAGCTTGGCAGGATGCCACCATGGACTTTTATGAACCCACGACCTTGCTCTTACTGGGCAGCTCAGGTCCTTAGTCAGGGAGCATGATGGGAAGGCATCGTATCCTTTGCATGGAATAATCCACTTAGTCCTCTGACGGCCTAGTGTTGCTGCCCAAACTGAACTTGAAAGGTTCTTTAAAAAGCAAAAAGAGGGCACAAACTTGAGTGGTTCGAGAGGGGGGTGTGACTCTAGGAGAAGCTGGCTGGAGGGTGTGAATGCGATTAAAATGCGCGGTATGAAATTCTCAAAGAACTGATCTTTTCAGTGAGGAAAAATACCTAAAGTGCTGCCGTCCGCTGCCATTCTGTTGGTGACACAGTGAGGCACAGCGTGGCTGACAGCTTGCCTCTGGGCTCACTGGGTCTAGAAATAAAGTCCGGTGTCAAACTCAGGCTGGTTCAGAGCCTGATAATGGAGAATGTGAGGCAGACAGACAGACAGACAGACAGAGGATGGTGAGAGGTGAGGAGAGAGAGTTCTAGGGCTTCCACGGCTGGATAAGGAACAGACAGGGCTAGTGACAATACACAGATACCCTGAGCTGGGGATGTGACTCAGTTGACAGCATGTGACTGCCTAGCATACACGAAGTCCTGGGTTTGATCTCCAGCAAGACATAACCCAGTTATGGTGGCTACATAGTCCTGACGGGCAGCCTGGGCTAATGAGACCCTATCTCAAGAAAGAAAAGTAACAGACTTCTTACCTGCAGAATGAATACTGCTAATGGGAATTAGAAATGACTCACTGAGACAGAGGAGAGGCCAACAGCAGCTCCCCAGATTCGGCCTCTCAGCTTTTCTTCCACTGGTGAATTCATCCCTGCCTCCCCTGTGCGGGTTCCAAGAGGCCCCCCCTCTAAGAAGTGCTGTAAGTCATAGTAAAGCACTGGCTTTTAAGTCTGACAAACCCCAGTCCACATCACAGTTTGGTTGTTTTGTGTTGCTGAAAAGCCCCGGGCAAGTGCCTACTCAGCTTTGAGCCTTAAATTTTCTCACTGGAAAACTTAGGGACGATAACAGTACAGGTGTATCCTGAGATGGAGTGCTGGGAAGCATGAGACCTGGTGTTTTTGTAGGTGCTCAGTAAGCACCTGGTGCCACCGAGATGTGGGAAGCTAAAGACAGCAAGCTGAGAGAGCTGGGGACAGGGTGGGGGAACTGGGGACAGGGTGGGAGAGCTGGTGACAGGGTGGGGAGCTGGGGACAGGGTAGGGGAGCTGGGGACAGGGTGGGGGAGCTGGGGACAGGGTGGGGGAGCTGGGGACAGGGTGGGGAGCTGGGGACAGGGTGAGGGAGCTGGGGACAGGGTAGGGGTGCTGGGGACAGGTTGGGGGATCTGGGGGCAGGGAGAGGGACCTGGGGACAAGGTGGGGGACCTGGGGGCAGGGTGGGGAGCTGGGGACAGGGTGGGGGATCTGAGGGCAGGGAGAGGGACCTGGGGGCAGGGTGGGGGACCTGGGGGCAGGGTAGGGGTGCTGGGGACAGGGTAGGGGTGCTGGGGACAGGGTGGGGGAGCTAGGGGCAGGGTGGGGGAGCTGGGGACAGAGTGGGGGAGCTAGGGGCAGGGTGGGGAGCTGGGGACAGGGTGAGGGAGCTGGGGACAAGGTGGGAGACCTGGGGGCAGGGTGGGGGAGCTGGGGACAGAGTGAGGGAGCTGAGGGCAGGGTGGGGAGCTGGGGACAGGGTGGGGGACCTGGGGGCAGGGTAGGGGTGCTGGGGACAGGGTGGGGGAGCTGGGGACAGGGTGGGGGAGCTGGGGACAAGGTGGGAGAGCTGGGGGCAGGGTGGGGGAGCTGGGGACAGAGTGGGGGAGCTGGGGGCAGGGTGGGGAGCTGGGGACAGGGTGAGGGAGCTGGGGACAGGGTGGGAGAGCTGGGGATAGGGTGGGGAGCTGGGGGCAGGGTGGGGGAGCTGGGGACAGGGTGGGGAGCTGGGGACAGGGTGGGGGAGCTGGGGACAGGGTGGGAGAGCTGGGGACAGAGTGGAGGAGCTGGGGGCAGGGTGGGGGAGCTGGAGACAGGGTGAGGGAGCTGGGGACAGGGTGGGGGAACTGGGGGCAGGGTGGGGAGCTGGAGACAGGGTGGGGAGCTGGGGACAGGGTGGGGAGCTGGGGACAGGGCGGGGAGCTGGGCAGTTCAAGGCTGTTTTGTCTGCATGTATGCCTGCACCATGTGCATGTGTGGTGCCCACAGAGGCCAGAAGAGGGAAACTTAGCCCCTAGAACTGGAGTCACAAATGGTTGTGAGCCACTATGTGGATGCTGGGAATCGAACCAGGATCCTCTGCAAGAGTAGACAGGGCTTTTAACTGCTGAGCCATCTCTCCACTCCCTGGCTCTGGAGTTTTTAACTGTAATCATGTACTTACCAGTGATATTCAATGCTCTCTCTCAACCCTGGGTGAGCCGGCCACGGCTTCCATCAGCTACACGATCATGACACTGCAGGGCCCCGTGATACAAAAACCATCAGTGTGCCCGGCCGTCCTTACACCTTTCACCTCCAACAAGGTTATGGGCCATTGGTTGCCCCATTATAAGACAAGGCGCATCTGTAATTCATTGGCTGTGCTGGGTAGCCATAGCTAAACTCATGTTGCATAGTGAGAAGGTTGCAGGAACCCTGCCAGGGAGAGCAGACCTGATAGCCCACAGTCTCACATCCTCTATCCCTAGGGCTGAGTAGGCCCTAGAGTTTGGGAGACATATGCAGGAGGCCATCTCTGGGTGCTGCCCTGGGTGGGCAGTCATGATCCTCTGTGCCAATGCCTCCTACAGGGTACCACAGTTATCCCACTACTCTACTCCATCCTTCATGGCCCTGACCAGTTCCAGGACCTGCTTCATTCCAGCCTGAGAAGTTTCTAGAAACCAATGGCACTTTTGAGAGGAGCCCTACCTTCCTGTCCTTCTCTGGGCAGTATCCATGCTGTGTGACTCTGGGGAGAATGCCAGCCCTCTCTGTTCTTCCTTCTTTAACATAAGCCAGTTCCTGTCTCCTGACAGATGGGACAGCTGGGCTCAGGTGAATAGGTGCAAGGAAGCCCAGATCTGTGCCAACCACACTTGTTCCTGAGCATGCCCAGTTCATTCAGGAGCTGCAGATTGTACCAGGCAATGAAAACACCCAAAGGTGTTGTTAGAACAGTGTCCATCTGCATCTGTTTTTTTAAAAATCTAAATGCAAGCATACACTGAAAGTTCTAAAGTAAAGCCCACCTAATCCAAAATAATAGTTTTTTCATAACCACTTTTGTTAGAGTTATGTAAAAATTACACAGCAATGCACATTGGGAAATGGTTTACTCTTAACTGCTATGTGAAATGCAAACACTTGTTAAAAAAGAAAGAAAAAGAGAGAAGAAATCAGGGGCTGGAGAGATGGCTCAGTGACTAAGAGCTCTGGCTGCTCTTGCAGAGGACCTGGGTTTCGTTACCATCCCCCACATAATAGCTAAAAATTACCTGTAAGGCTGCTGATGAAAACCAGCTCTGCACGCACACACGCACGCACACAAGCACAAGCACGCGTCTCCAGAACGTCAGGGTCTCTCACATCTCTCTCTCTTTTTATTTTTTCAATACAGCTTATGTACCCCAGCAATATCTTTCAAGCAGTATAAAAATTACATTGTGTTTGCATTCTATTTTTCAAGTGAAGGATTACAATGAATACAAGTAAAAAACAGCATGTTTCTCATTTCCCTTACATGAGTAAACCTTCTAAGTATTACATGTAAAAAACAAATGATTTCCAAAGATCCATATACATTCATAGCAGAGCAACTTGTTATAGATTAACAGAGTATAAGTAAGCAATGCCTTTTTCTCAGCCAGTTCTTTTACAAAGAAAGGATCAATCATTTTATTATTTATCTCAATGGGTAATTTTATATAAATAAATAAGTAAATAAATAAAATAAAAACCTTAAAAGAATCACAAATCTAGACTTTTATATATGAAAAACAGTCATTTCTACTTTAAATTCTCAGGGTGCATACCCATTCATGAACAGTTTTTTATTAAATCATACCAGAAAGCTGGGGGCAGAAATGGGTACAAGGAACTAATCATCACCTTTGATCACCAATCTATCCTAGCCAGAAAGGCAGCAGCCGGGCTGCTGTGGTTTTTATTCCCTGGCCTCAGCGGGTGCCTTGCTTAACTAACAGAAGTGTGACTTTCTAAACTTTAAATCGTTCCCCAAGATTTTCTACCTCAAAGCCATGAACAAAAAACACCTTAACCTAACCTTACTAACAATTCTACCTGTCTAAATTCTTCCTAAGGGTGGTGGTTGAATCTGCTCCAGCAGCAACACTTGGAAAAAGTCAATCGCTGTTATTGTAAGTACCAGTAACACTGCCCAGTGAGGGGCTGGAAACCCCCTGAGAGTGTTCACACAACCCATAGATGATGAGGGACGTGATGACCGTGAGGGTAATAAGCAGAGTTGTGCTCAGTAACAGCAGGAGGTCCTCGGGACACACACAGTCCTCGGGCTCTGCCTCTCCAAGACTCTCGTGACCTCTTTATGCTGACCTCCATGAGTTCCAAAGCTGTTTGCTGTTCCTCTCACATGGCTCCCCGACACTGTAACTCCAGTTTCAAGGGATCCAACACTCTCTTCTGACCTCCAAGGACAGGAACACAAACACGGTAGAGTGCACAAACGTAAGGCGGGCAAATACTCAAATACACGAAATATTTTTTCAAAGTCAAGAGCCAGGAGTAGTGGCACACACCTGTAATCCCAGCACTTGGCAGACTGAAGAATTCTGCAGGTTCAAGACCAGCCTGGGCTATGAAACAAAAACCTGTCTCAAAAACCAACCAACACACACACACACACACACACACACACACACACACACACACAGAGCATAGAAAAGGGGATGATGTGGCTCAGTGGTAGAGCAACTGTCTAGAATCCCCCAGTGAGGGGCCAGGGGCATATGCCTAGAATCCCCAGTGAAGGGCTAGAAATGTGACTCAGTGGTAGAGTTCCTACCTATAATCCCCCAGTGAGGGGCTAAAGGTGTGGCTCAGTGGTAGAGTCCCTGCCTAGAATCCTCCAGTGCGCCGGGCAGTGGTGGCGCACGCCTTTAATCCCAGCACTCGGGAGGCAGAGCCAGGCGGATCTCTGTGAGTTCGAGGCCAGCCTGGTCTCCAAAGCGAGTTCCAGGAAAGGCGCAAAGCTACACAGAGAAACCCTGTCTCGAAAAAAACCAAAAAAAAAAAAAAAAAAAAGAATCCTCCAGTGAGGGGCTGGGGGTGTGGCTCAGTGGTAGAGCCCCTGCCTAGAATCCTCCAGTGAGGGGCTGGGGGTGTGGCTCAGTGGTAGAGCCCCTGCCTAGAGTCCCCCAGTGAGGGGCTGGAGTGCAGCTCAGTGGTAGAGCCCCTGCCTAGAGTCCCCCAGTGAGGGGCTGGAGTGCGGCTCAGTGGTAGAGCCCTAGAATCCCCCAGTGAAGAACTGGGGCGTGGCTCAGTGGTAGAGGACTTACCTAGGATGTATGAAACTGTGGGTTCAATCCTCAGTACTGATTTTTTTAAGGTGGAACAAGAATGCAAAATGAAAGCAGAATCTCTCTCCTTGATTCTGTCCTTTTAAGGAGAAGATCTACAGGCTAGAGGCAAATATGATTTAGGTTTTCATTTGTATCCTTCTAAATCCTGTCTAAATAAATATACACATAAATATTGAACCAATGAGTTTATTGGGGTGACTTACAGGAAGATAAATGAGTTATTTATTGACAGTGGAATGGATGACGACTGCAGCACTAAAAAGTGCACCCCATTTTGGCGATGACTCAGGAAAGCCGCACCCCTGGAACTCTCCACACGGGCTGCAGGCAGCTCCACCAAAGAGTCTCCTCCCAGGAGCAACTGTTTGCTGCTTTTATAACTTTGGCTAGGGGCTTTGTGACTCTGACAACGTTTTGAGCATCTTGGGCTAGTAAGTTTCATTAGCGATGGGGATCTTCATCCTATAAGCCTTCCTCCAGGAGCTTTGAATTCAGAGGAAAACACTGTTCAGCAAGCTCCACCATTTTCTGTGATCCCCTCTTCCCAACTGCCTCTCAGCCTCCTTGGATCACCACTTCCCTGGTCAGCAGGGAACTGAGCATGTCCGAAAGAGTCTCTGGCCCATGCCAAGCCCTTTCCCTATCTGACATATTGTGCTTCTCACCCACATCTTTGCTGCCTCCTGGGACCCTGAATCTATAGCCCTACTGTGGTGGTTTGAAAGAAAACAGCTCCCAATGGGAGTGGCACTATTAGGAGGTGTGGCCTTTGTGGAGGAAGTGTCTCACTGTGGGGGTGGGCTTTGAGGTCTCCTTTGCTCAAGCTACCCTCCGTGTTACAGTTCAGATCACTTCCTGTTGCCTGCGGGTCAAGATTCAGGACTCTCAGCTTCTTTCCCAGCACCATGTCTGCCTTCATGCCACCATGTCACACCATGATAATGGACTAAACTTCTGAAAATGTAGGCCACCCCAATTAAATGTTTTTCCTTTATAAGAGGTGCCATGGCCATGGTGTCTCTTCAGAGCAACAGAAACCCTACAAGACACCTATTTTTGAAGCTCACTCTGCAGCTGAGGGAGACCCAAGCCCACCTCCCATGCTAAGGCCAACCACCATCTGGCTATGACCTGGCTGTCTTTGTGTTGCCGGCTTCAGCACACAGGCTGCAGTGGATCTGTGTCCTGTTTTCATAGGTGACATTTGAGGCTGGGTCCTTCTCACACATCCACTGTATATGAAAGAATAAAATAAATCACAGCCGGGCCACACAAGGCATCAGCCGTTTATCTTTATACATAGACAAGAGATCTCTTGCTGGGAACAGCTCATTGGAAAAAGAACCAAGAGGAGCGAGTGTTGGGCACAGTTGTCTGAATGAGGTCAGCTCCACTCAGAGGGACCAGCAGGTGCAAAGGCCCTGCCGTGTGGACTGAGTTCGGAGAAATATCCAGAGGGTCGGCACTGCCGGCACAAAGTGAATGTGCCTGGGCACGGGGCAAAGGAGAACGGATTGGTCGTAGAGACTGAAGCATGGAAACTTATGAGAAGAGATTTGACTGAATATGGTTTTGGGTTCGAGTGCTAGGCATCGAACCCAGGGCCTCACGAAGTCCAGTACATACTCTCCCACTGAGCTACATGCCGGTCCCTGATCTGTGTTTGTTCTGGTCGAGTTGGAGTTTTCCTTTTTCTGGTGAGTGTGGCGGGGGGTGGGGAGGGGGGTGCTGATGCAGCGTCTCAGGTAAGCCAGTCTTACCCTCAACCTCACTATGAAGATGACCTTGAACTCCTGAGCACACTTCCTCCACCTCCCAAGCTCTAGAGCCAAAGACGTGAGCCACCACCTCCAGTTCATGCTGTGCTCGAGATGGGACCCGGGCTTCAGGTGTGCTGACAAGCATGGCTGAAAACGGAGTTACAACTCTAGCGCAATTGCTTTGCTTTGAGACTGGGTCCCACTCTGTAGCCCAGGCTGGCCCTGGCCACAGCACCAACCCTCTTTTTCTTTGAGACAGGGTTTCATCTGTGTAACAGTCCTGGCTGTCCTGGAACTCCCTCTGTAGACCAGGCTAGCCTCGAACTCAGAGATTCACCTGCCTCTGCCTCTGGGTGCTGGGATTGAAGGCGTGCGCCACCACCGCCCAGCTGCCAGCACCAACCCTCTTTGATTTATGTTTTAGAAAGACCTTTTGATCTCTCTGTGCCCAGGGAGCTGAAGGTACCTGCAGGGAAGGAACCCCAGAGTCACTCCCAATGTCTCCCTGAGACATTCCTCCCACACCCCCAGATTCCACTGAAGCGGGGTGCCAGGCCATGGTTCCAACACACTCTTGCTGTGAGCCAAGGAATGTTCAGCAGGCACAACTTGATGCTGCCTCTTATGTAACTCAGTCCCCTCCCCGAGCAAAGGGCCCTGGCACAGAAAATGACTTAGAAACCGGTTTCCTGACAGCTGCCCTCTGCTGGCCCCTGTCGAAGTGATTTTATTGCAAGAATGATTCTTTTAGATTGTCTTCCTACCCTGGCTTAATTACTGACAATCCGTCTTTTAAAATAATCCCATTGTAGTCAATTATGTGGTCCCTAGTTGCACTCTAATCTGATTTTATACCATGTGTTCCTTTCAGGAAAAATGGAGTTATGAATTTCAAAGAGTTCATAGCACAAACAGGTTGCACCTTAGAAGCATGGATTCTTCCAGGACACAGACAGATTGCCTTTACTAACTGTTCATTCTATGCCAAGTGATGCTGAAAATGTTTTGTGGCCATTCAATCCTGTAATTTTTTTTTCATATTCCAAACAACCCAGCAAAGCTTCCTCTTTACCCTGTGTAAACACCATACTCACACATGCCAAGTGTATGTGGCTTAGTCTATCCTGAAAGTGTTAGAGGTTTGTAATGTCATCCCTGCTTAGAATTCTGATGGGACAATTCTAGGAGGAGGTGGGAACAGTGACTCATGGTGTGCTTGCTTCAAGTTCACCCAACAAAGGTAAGAGAAAAGAAAGAAAGCGGGGGCCCCTGTGTTGACATTCCTATGGGCGGGTCTCATTGGAACACTCCTTGGAGAACAAATAAACACCCAAGGCAATAAGCCTTTAATCTGCTGGGGAATTTATCTTGGAACAAAGTCTTGAGGTCACAGTATGTACTCTAGGCTCGTCAGCACTACCTGAGGCTGACTGGACTCCGCCATGTTATCTTCCAAAAGAGTTCAGCCATCACCCCATGTCTTCCTAGGAGGACACCATGCTTTAAGAGGTCTTGTTCCCAAGACGGTTGTATGCTGGAAGCTTAGTCCCCAGTGTAATGGTGTTGAAAGATGGTAGACCTTTAGGAGACAGTTAGGAGAGCCTGGCGTGGTGGCACAACCCTATAACCCCAGCACAAGAGTGCCAGAAGCAAGAGGATCACCCAGGAGGTTGAAGCTAGCAGGGCTACATAGTAACAGCCTGTTGATAACAGGGAAAAAAGCAAGGGAGACAGTTCAGTTGTGAGCAGGTACCTGAGTTTGGTTCCCAGCCCCTACACAAGGTATCTCACTATCTGCTGAAGCTCCAGCTCCAGGAGATCTAATGCCCTCTTCTGGCCTCTGAGAGCACCTGCACTCTCTTGCACACACACACACACACACACACACACACACACACACAAATAATTTAAAACAAGGAGCTGGAGAGGTGGCTCAGTGGTTAAGAACACTGCTGCTCTTGTAGAAGACCCAAGTTCAGTTCTCAGCTCCTACATGATGCAGGAGAATTGACTTGAGTTAAAAGCCAAGTTAAATGTTAAACTACATTGTGAGTACAAGACCAATCTAGGATACATTATAAGACCTTGTATCAAAAGACAAGAAGAGGGCTGGAGAGATGGCTCAGTGGTTAAGAGTTTGCACTGCCCTTCCAGAAGGCCTGAGCTCAGTTCTCAGCACCCAGGCCCAGCAGCTCACAGCTGCCTGTAACTCCAGCTCCAGGAGATCTGATACCCTTTTCTGGTCTCCATAGGCACCTGCACATGTGTGCATATATCCACACACAGACACCTAATAAAAAATAAGTATTTTTAGCAGATAGCAGGAAGGAAGGGAAGACAAAGGAGAAGAAGGAGAAGGAGATAAATGTTTTTCTCAAAAGACTAAATTAAGTCTCTCAGGGCTGGATTAGTTATCACAGAAACAGGTTGTTATGTTTTGGCCTCTTCCCACACACACCCCCTTGCTACTTTTTCATATTCTCCCACAGTGTGAGGAAATATGTTATGACATGCCATCATGTGACTGAGACCTTGGCATGTCATGTGGTATTTCATCACAACAATTGTAACCCTAAATAAGACACCAAGAGACTGAATGTCTGGCAGCAAAAAGCCAGAAGCATTTTTTAAATAAATTTTTAGATTTACGTGTGTGTATGTGTGTGTGTGTGTGTGTGTGTGTGTGTGTGTGTGTGTACAGATGCAATTCTTTATGAATATTTTTTTAGCTGTCCTTGTTTGAATCTGCTGGTACAGAAACTACAAGTATGGGATGGTGGCCCCTCCATAGAGCACACGCTCCAGCAGAAGGGGAAGCAGGGAGAACGGGATCAGAGGGACTTGTCTCCTTTTCCACATTGAACAGTTGGGAACCAAGGGCAGGTGATACAATGAGGTGGAGGCTGGGTTGTGGAAAGGGATTGTGGATAGGCAATCCATGATCTTCCATGAGCAAAGAGTGAGCTAACCATCGCCCTCATGCATTATTATTGAACCACTTCTGTAGCTTCGAGAGGGCTATGTGGAGCCTCCAGACTCTGGGGAAATAGAAGACGGAGCCATGCCATGTTGGGAAGAAAGACTGAGTGCCCACCCAATCCTTGAGTCCCTGAATAATGCACACCTTTCTACTTAGGAGACTCACTGGGGTTTTGGCTTGGGGGAAGGGTGATTTTATTATTTCCTGTTGTTTCATTTATTTGTGGGGGAAGTGGGGATGATACATGCCACAGCATGCAAGTGGAGGTCAAAGGACAGCTATAGGAGTTGTTTCTCTCCTTCCACCATGTGGGTCCTGGGGAATCCAACTCAGATTGTCAGGCTTGTAATACCTCTACCACTGAGCCATCTCGCCAGGCCCTGTTTTATTTTGTTTTGAGACAAGGCTTTGTTATATATTTCTACCTGGCCTGGAACTCGTCATGGAGTCCAGGTTGACCTCAAACCCACAACAAGCTTCCTGCCTCAACCTCCCAAGTGCTGGGGTTGCAGATGTGCACTCCCACACCTGTCTGGGACTCACTGTTTAAGTGGGTCAGAGTGTTCACTTCAACTTCTAGAAGTACTGTGGTGGTGGCACAGGTTAAGGGCAGAAAGCCAACCGGAGGCAACTTTCCTTCCCAAATAACAAAGGTGTGCTGTGGATGATTGATTGATAAATAAAACACTGATTGACCAGTAGCCAGGCAGGAAGTATAGGCGGGACTAGCAGAGAGGAGAAGTCTGGGAACAGGAAGGCTAGGGAGAGGAGACGCTGCCAGCTGCCACCATGAGAAGTTGTTAAGATACCAGTAAGCCACGAGCCATGTGGCAACTTATAGATTAATAGAAATGGGTTAATTTAAGATATAAGAACAGTTAGCAAGAAGCCTACCATGGCCATACAGTTTGTAAGCAATATAAGTCTCTGTGTGTTTACTTGGTTGGGTCTGAGCTGCCATGGGACTGGCGGGTGAAAGAGATTTGTCCTGACTGTGGGCCAGGCAGGACTGGAGAAAACTCCAGCTACAAAGGTGTGTGTGTAAGTGAGAAATATGGCAAAGATCATGGGACACCAAGTGTCCAGCTTGCTGTACGCTTGGGCTTCTACCCTCTCCGGGTCTCAGGAGGCTGTTGTGCATGGAAGGTCTTGACTCTCTGCCTTCAGGCTCAGGTCAGGCTTGCTGGTAGGATCCTCCACAAGCTCCAATGTTTGAACACTTGGCCTCAAGCTGGTGGTGCTACTTTGGGAACTTGTGGGACCTTTAGAAAGTCCCATGCTTCTCTTTGCTTCCTGATTGTCTGGTAGATGTAACCAGCTGTCAGTGCTCTTAAGCCACACACTACTCTGGAGCTAACTGGCTGGCATGACTTCTCCACCATGATGGACTGAGGATTGAACTCAGCAGCAAAGTGTCTGCCAAGAATCCCCCAGTGAGGGGCTGCGGGTGTGACTCAGTGATAGAGTCCCTGCCTTGAATCCCACAGTGAGGGGCTGGGGGTGTGGCTCAATGGTAGAGTCCCTGCCTAGAATACCCCAAGTGAGGGGCTGGAGGTGTGGCTCAATGGTAGAGTCCCTATGTAGAATCACCCAGTGAGGGACTGTGTTCAGTGACAGAGCATTCATCTAGTATGTTCAAGGCTCTAGGTTCATTTTGCAATACTGAATGATAAAAGAAGACCTCCCTCCCACTGACTCTGAGGACACCTGGATCTTGAACTCTGGTCTCCAGAAGATGAGCCAATATTTCTGTTATTGACTCCACCCAGCCAGAGCAGTTTGCTGCAGTAGTTTTGAGACAGAGCTAGAGGGCTATCCCAGGGGCCCCTCAGTGCTCACACACATTCCTTCACTATTCCACAAGCACTTATGTTATCACTTGTCTTTGGGGGACAGGGCTTATATTCTAGTAAAATGTGTAAACAAATACAGGTGCACACATAGGAAAAACCACGAAATCATTGAGTGGTAGTGCACACTTTGGATTTCAGCACCTGAAAGGCAGGGGCAGGTGGATCCCAGTGAACTCAAGACAACCCAGTGTGCACACCAAGTCCCACACCATGGCTACAAAGTGAGGCCCTGTCTCAAAAAGAGAAGAAAAGGTCATGAGAGGAAACAGAGAAGGCAACAGCCTGAAAGGACAGAGACCCCAGAGGAAGCCAAACCTGCCCCCACCTTGACCTTAACCTTGGACCTTGCCTCTGGAACTATGAGAAGAAATGTTTCTAGTTTCTGAGCCACTGTGGGTGGTATTTGGTTATGGTGGCACAAGAAGACACTATACCGTGACACATATCTCATTCCAGTAGAAGTACCAATGTCTCACACTGACCACGAGCAAGGTCCAATTTCTTTTTCTCTTTTGGTTTGGTTGAGTTTCTATATTTTGGGACAGGATCTGTCAAACTTGCTATGTAGCCAAGGATAACCCCGAATTCCTGACCTTTCTGCCTCTACCTCCATAGCACTGGGATTCAGATGTGCACCACCATCCCAACTTGAGGTCTAATTTCTTACCAAACCACTTAGTACAAGCTGACTATCTCTAACCCCAAAATTCAAAGTACCCCCAAAAACTGAAGCTTCTTGAGTTCTGACAGAAGGCCTCAAGTGAGTAATTCCACATGTAACTGCATATTATTGGTTAGATTTTTTAAAAAATGGGTTTAAATTGAAATGTTGCTTAAGATTATCTTCAGCTGGGTGGTGGTGCATGCCTTTAATCTCAGCACTCGGGAGGCAGAGACAGGCAGATCTCTGTGAGTTCAAGGCCAGCCTGGTCTATACAATGAGACTTGTCCCCCACAGACTTGGTTCCTGTTGGTGGTCCTCTTTGGAGAGGTTAAGGAACCTTTAGCAGGTGGAGCCTTACCGGAAGGACGTCACTAGGGGTGGGCTTTGAGGGTTTATATGCTCTCCCACACTTCCAGCTCTCTCTCTCTCTCTCTCTCTCTGCTTTCTGCTTGTTGTTGAAGATGTGGTCTCAGCTTAACCGCCGCCTGCTATCAAGCCTCTACTGCCACGGTGACCTCTCCCTCTGGAAACACATGCCAACACAAACTCTTTCTTTTCTATGTCACTACTGGTCATGGTGTTTTATCACAGCCACAGAAAGGCAGCTAGTTCTCTGAGCAAGTGTTGAGACCACAGTTCAGATCCCCAGCACCTACTAAAATGCCAGGTGGAGGGGTTGGGGGGTGGGGGAAGCCCACTTGTAATCCAGCCTCAGAAAGTAAAGATAGACTAGTCATATCAGTAAACTCTGGGTTTGATTGAGAGACACTGCCTCGATGAATAAGTTGAGAGGATGATGGAGGATGGTTCCTGATACCACCTCATGGTTGCATACACACATGCCTGTAAGGTTGGAACCTCCAACTCTCCCTGCATGATTGGGAAAACCCCATTCATGTCTCTTTCTCCAAACCCCACTCACTCAGAGAGTCTCCAAAAAGGAAAGGCACCAAAAAGCCCAGTTCCACATTCCTAGTGGCTACTGCAGCTTCCTCTCCTGAGGTTGCCAGCTGCCCAAGTCCCTGCCTAAAGTGCTCAACTTTAGACCATAC